GTTATATTGGCGGGTGTTAGTACATTTACACACACATGTCTCTACTGCGCTGTAGGAGAAATTTTGGTTGCACAAGTACAGTACTTTCTTCGTTAACTTATACACAAAATATAACTTACACAGTCTGATAATTAAGATACTTGCTCTAGTATATATGTGATCTAATTAACAGTTTTGCGTATGTCTATTTGTTAAGTGTGATGGAATTTACGAAGCAGCATGCAAATACAAATGGTACAAGTTGGAACCGACGAAAGCAAGGAACATAATGATCATAATGATGCGGGCCAACAAATCGTTATGCCTTAGCGCTGGAAAACTGTTCCCGATGACCATGTCCACGTTTTGTAACGTAAGCTAAGACATTTATACTCTCAAGTTACTCTTTCTTTACCATTTCATATATTCTTGACGTGAACAATATAAATATATGCAAAAATAAATGTATTGTTACACAAAATATAAGGAAGCTATATTATCTATAAGATTTCTCATTTTTATCGAATGGAAATTATAATTGACATAACATTTTCTACGATAAATTAAAGTATTAAACAATTATCTGAAATGTGTAAAATATGCTTTTACATAAGTGGAATGTATAAAGTAGTATCTGAAATATGTTATTAATATTTAAAATATTGCAGGAATTAAACTAATTATTTAACTGCCAGACTGCATTTTATAAATTAATACATAATATACATATAAAGATATTATTACATATAAAGAAGAAGCAAATGTAGTACATATTTACATCATTGATTAAGTTAATTTTGTACGCCAACATACATTTACAATTATTTAAATATTTTCAGTTGTTAAAGACATCAGCCGGTTATATATCGGTTTTGCTGGCACATCGGGAATAAAAATAGAAATCTACAAAAATATCAAATAAAAATCTGATTTTAATATTCATATCGGGAAGTAACAATTAATATATTATTTTATTAAATAAAGAACACAAGCGCGCGCGTCGCGCGCGCCATTTGCTCTCTCTAAAAATTCGCATGGTTTGACAGCTGCAAATAACACGATTGAAGCATGTCATATCGCACAACCCAGTGAGACATGATTCATCGATCGATGTCGAAATGATGTCGAATCGACGTCAATTCGATGATGTCGATGTTGATTCGACGTCGTTTCGACGTCGATCGACGAATCATTTCTCACTGGGAAGCGAGACAACCAATCAGCATCTCGAAAAAGCGACAGCAATACTTTGAGACTTTCGACTATCGATTTAACACGCCTTTTTATTCATATTGGGACTAGTTTGTATATAAATGTGATAAAGTTTATTATTATAAGATATATGTATACATGTTTTACTTTCTTGTTTTAAAAACTTGTCAAACACATATATTACAATGTTGTCGCATTATTTTTATTTAAACTGTACGTTGCTTTCAATATTATGGAAAGACGCATGACAAACACAATTAAATTTATTATTTACAAATCAATGTCATGAATTTGCAATGAAAAGATGTATTAATAAAAATGCGGTTGCTTTTAAATACTTTTAAGTGTTTTAATAGTAACATTTTGAGAAATATTTTTTAAATTTATTTTATAGTCAAGTAGTCAATTTATTATGCAATACATGTTTTAAAATCCTCTATTTTTATTTAAAAAGACAAACAATCCTTTATATAAGTCGTTCTACAAAGCAGAAGAACTTTGAGATATTCTTCCAGTTTAAGATAATTTAATTTAATACTGAAAGTTTTCTCTCATATATATATATGTATTTATTAACCATATACTGAAGATTAAAATACTAAAATTATTTTGCATGCTAAATCCCATTGAAATGCAACAATTTTTATTATTGTATTGTTAAAATTTTATTATTAACTCATGATAATTCAGATTATTTTCATGAAAGTATACATTTCATTCGCTTAACATTACAAATATCATTCATAATGCACGATTGATCATAAATTCAATAAAGACACAAGCAGTATCTTAATTACATCGTTCTTAATTAAATATCATATAACTGCGATTTCCATGATAATCTCGTTATGACGCAAATTGGAATAATTAATATTATTCACAGCTGTGTACATACTTCGATACATATATAAATTGTACCGTACGCATTAGTCATTACTGTGCTTCCCGAAGTTTGTCAGGCGCGGTGTGAAAGCAGACCTACCACAATGAAACAACTGTCGTGTATCCTGATCGCATTGGCGATCGTAGGTAAGTACATCACGAAATTGATAATAGTTTGTGTGACAATTTAACGAGTTTTATACACTAAATTTTTCGCTTTCTAATTATTTATTTACCATTCTAAAAACTTGATACGTTTCGACTACACATATGTATAAAAAGTGTGCATGTAAATTACTTTATTGAGTTCTTATATACTGTGCAACATACTTAATCTTCGTCACATTCCATATTGTATTTATCGTATTTATCGTATTAGCTTTATTTTATATGAATTTTGAAAATTTGGTCTAAAAACAGAAATGAATCCTATACTGTCTTATATTAAAAAACAAATAAGAGCAAGTAAAATTTGTAAGTATAAAATTAGCAAAAATTTTTTCTTAGATAAATAATGTGAGATAATGATACAAATAATTCTGTTTGATCATGAGAATAATAGCATACAGTTTCGGTAATTTGATATTCATAAATTAGTATTGCATCGTATATTAAAATAAATTAGAAAAACTTATTAATATATTGTATGACATTAGAAAATTACTTCATTATACGTTTGTAGGTGTTTACGGCGATGAACCAGACAAGTTAGTAAATGGAATACCGGCGAACATAAACGACTATCCGCATTGTATTTCCATGAGGATGAACGGCAACCATATGTGCGGTGGTAGCCTAATTGATAAGCAATACGTTCTAACTGCCGCGCATTGCCTAGTGTCTTTAAAGCAGAACCCCTCTCTATTGAAATCTGTGACCGTTTTTACTGGCACGACCTATCTCAATTCGGGTGGACAGGCTCATAAAATAGCTAATGTGTGGTACCATGAAAGTTACGACCCCAACTTCCCTTCGGGTAGAGGACCTTACGATATCGGTTTGATAAAGGTAAAACTTTAAAACATACTAAGATATATAATATCAGTTTGTGACATATTTGTGGTGTGCACATACGATATACCTTTTGTTATTAATTAATTATAAAAGTAATTATACACACGCGCGCACGCGCGCGCGAAACATACTTTAATCACTCTTACAGCCCAATTTATTCAACATAAAATTGTTTTAGCTGGCTGCGCCCGTTCAGTTTGGACCAACACAACAGCCAATTAAACTCCCAACGAGAAATATAGCTAAGGATGATAGCGTTACAATTGCAGCATGGGGTTCTACGGGTTTCAGAAAAGCCATACACAACAACTTGCAAAAATTGCACGCGAAAGCCATGCTTCCAGACTTATGCCAGCAATATCATAAAAACTCTATGCCCATTCACTCATCGAATGAATTCTGTACCCTTATCACCTACGGAACTGGATTGTGCAATGTACGTAACATTATATTACATCTAACAGAATGCATTTGATTTTATTATTGGGCGTCTCTTTATATTTAATATTTTCCGTCTGTACACATGGCATTTTCTAATTACTGTTGTTGAATCGCGATGTCATATTGAACATCACTCACCTTACATTATTACGTTCCTTCTATCTTATCCAGAATATAATATTTTACATCATAATTAATTTACATTTGTAATGACATCGCTTAAAGTAGAATTCTCTTGCATACCTTACTTTTCTCTTTACCATCTTAATTATTCATAAAAATGATAATATGCCAAATTAGCAGAATTTTTTCTTAAATAATAACAATTTTGAATTTAGTATAATACGGAAAATATTATCAATTGTTTCACTTATATAAGAGATATTGAATATCGTATTTTTAAAAAATTAATAATCTTCAAATTATGTTGCAGGGTGACAGTGGTAGTGGACTGATTCGTGACACCGACAATACTATTGTCGGTCTGGTGTCTGGTGGAAGACCGTGCGCCTTGGGTTATCCAGATGTATACACTAACGTTTACTCTTACATTTCTTGGATCAAACAAAAAATGAATTCCTACTAACATTCTTCATTATGTATTGCATACTCCTAATATTTAATAAAGACTATTGAGCAAATGTATATCTTTTATATTATTATTAACTTGCACTATTTGTATAGCTCTTACTAAATTCTCATTAGTGTGACATAATGCGAGGGTAATAAGAAGAGTCACTATAGCATTCATCAATGAATTCATATGCGACGTTCTCGTCGCCGATCCACGCAAGGCACTAGCTGACGTTGGCTCGTGTCGAGGGTGGAAAGTACAACCCCAGGATGCATCAACGTTACTTCACATACAGAAAAGTAAGATGAGAAAAGAATGGTATTAAAATTCTACCTTACTGGTGCGAAAACTTTGGCGGTTATGGCTCTTGCGTGACGGTTGTACCATCGTGTACATACATCACGCACAACTTTGTCAATTACAGGTGTATGAAAGCCAGGGACGGCATACTATCATTGTCTTGATCAAAAAGAAATAAAAAATATAGAAACTTTAAAAATCCGTATTTATACAAGATTACATATTCGCTACAAATACCTACGATTGTCACATTCATAGAAAAATGATGTTACTAAAAATTTTTTAATATTGCTAGAGGCTAAACTTATATCTTTACTTAACGCTGACTGCTCAAATTTATTGCGGCGTACTACGTTTGTTGTATTAGTACATTAATTCACACATCATTTATATCAGATATTGAATATTTCTCGACGAAATTAAAAGTCAGCTGATAACTGCTATAAGTGCAGGTAAAGTATTTACAGCTGCGGCCCTGTCGCACGACGCATCGCGTTTCTCATTTCAGCCTTTCCGTATTTTCACTTTTTGTCTGTGAACATCGCAACTGACGACCACAATAATTATACAGTTTGACAGTTGTAATACTTACGACTCCCTACATTATAAAACGACCACGGAATTGGCGAACTTTAATCGAAGCGACATACCACAGTTAGCGTATGAAGACTACAGGGTATACTTTACGCACGGGAGAGAATAAAACGTCTTGGCTCTACACTTTCGAGCATGCTTACGGATAAGTTAATGAGACACGCAGGTGCTTATAATCACTTTTGTACTAAAACAATGACACGTAACCAAAATAACTATATACAATACATTGTATTATAATAGAAATCGTACGTTAATCGCATCAAGCTATTGCCTAGAACATTTCACTTAACTTTTTATGTTGCAAAAACATACAAGTTCTATGCCTATTATAATGATTGTTACTATAATTATCACTACCAAAATTTTTTCAAGTATTTATAATAAATAAACGTTTTTATTATAAAATCTTACTATCAATTGGCAGATAACAGTATAGTAAAAAGCACTCAACATAAAATCTGTAAGAATATAACATTATACATACGATAGTACCTATACAATATTTTATTAAGGTGCATTTAATAATAGACGTTCTAAGCATAAAATATAATACATCCAGCAAACAACCCGTGAAAATATTTTCAATTTTCTGAATACATATGTATATACATACAATTCGAGATCAATCTATCAATATATCACTATTATCATCAATTGTACATTGAAATTATTTGTGCCTAGGCAGACTTCGAATGGGCAACCAAGCCAAATCGAATTGTATTAAATATTTTTGGCCTATGGCCAAATGTTCGTGAAAATCCCCGTGACAGATTCTTCTCGAATTTGAGGGTGATATTCACATTTGTCATATTTGTTTTTACTGGAGTTACTCCAGCCATACATTCCGTAGTGAGAATTTGGGGTGATCTGATGTCAATGATAGACAATCTGCAAACCATTTTACCATGTATAATGACTATAATAGGACTAGTTGTTATATGGTGGAAGAAACCAGGTAGGACTCTCTCTCGTATTAGTCACGAATGCTCTACATAAAACTCGTAACTAAGTCTCCTCTAAATCGTAATTAAATCTCCTCTAAAAATTCTAGTTTTCAACAGTTATAATAATATACTTACTTTCGTAAAAGAAATATTATATGCTACAAATTATTTATTTTAAAAATAATTATAAAGAAAGAGAGAAAGAGGGAAGCTTTAAGAAAACTATCTACCCATTTGTATATTTGATTATACCTCCTGTCTTTTAACTTTAAATTTCATGTATCCATTAACACAATTTTTCATTTTCAAGATCTTTTACTGGCCATAAGTATGATAGCTGAGGATTGGATAAAAATCAAAAGCGATAAGGAACGGTGCATTATGATAAAGCATGCTCAATACGCTCGAATTCTCACATTGATCGGTTATTCCTATATGTTTCTGTCAGCTTGTTTGCTCGTTCTTCTACCTTTCTTCGGGAAGTCTGTGAGATACATGACAAATGTCACTGATCCAGATAAGATCTTACCCCTACAATCCCATTATATCTATGATAAAAATCAAAGCCCGTATTTCGAGTTTTCCTACTTCACACAGTCCCTCATGGTCGTTATGTGTACTGCGTGTTACAGTAGTATGGATAACTTATTCGGATTACTGGTATTTCATTTGTGCGGGCAACTGGAGAATTTAAAAGACAAGCTGATTAACAAAAATATATATGAAAACGATAACAAAACTGTAGCCTTTATCGTGAAGGAGCACATACGACTAATCGAGTTCCGTACAAATTTTAATATCTCAACATCTATATTTACCGAATTAATATATTGAACATTTACAACTTTTCTAAGTTATTTTTATTGTGTAAAATTTTCCATAAGAATAATAATAGTGTAAAATTTTTCTCATTAAATATTTAAGCTGTGTGACACATTTGAAAAGTTTACAATTACACAATTAAAGTTCTAAAGAAATGTAAATTATTTTGAAAACCGTGAAATGATATACAAACGTCACTAAATGACGAAATTCTTTTTAAGATATGTTCATATTATCGAAAATATATTTACTTTATTATTACTCGGATTCTTTGTCTACATCGGCTTATTATGCAGTTTATACGGATTTCTAATAATCGCAGTAAGTATTCAAAAATTTCTTCCATTTTTACATAAAATAAATATACATATATTTGAAATGTAAGAAGCTAAAATATTTCTTTTATAATAATAACAATTAATCATATAACAAATTTGTGTAATATTGTTTCATTGATTTTCTAGATACTTAAAGAAGGAAAGAAAATGTCAATAATGCGCTTTATATATATCACTTCTGTTGCAATAAATGTTTCTGGACACATGTGTCTGTTGTGCGCGGTGAGTGAGCTTTTAGTAGCAAAAGTAAGTATCTACAAATATATACGAAAAACATAATATATAGAGATAACAGAATTATACATTGTGATGTCACTTGTAAAGAGCGAAAGTATATATCATGCAGCTTATGAGCATGAATGGTACAAATTGAAGCCAGAAAAGGCAAAGTGTTTGCTCCTAATAATGGTTCGAGCTAAAAAGCCTTTTTATATTATGGCTGGGAAAATAATTCCTATGACATTGTCGACGTTTTGTAACGTAAGTGATTATACTAATTAATAACAACCATCTCATTGTTTAAACATCTTTAATCGTTTTCTAATAAGACATTAATTGTAAAGATATTTTATTAATGAAGAAATAAATAAATCATCACAACGAAATTACAATAACTTAAAAATTGTGCTGACATCATTTTATGTTTTATCATAGTAATGTAATGTTAACCCTTGTTGGTCATTGTAGCGTCCAAAAGATCCCAACGCAAGTTTAAAGCTTTATACCCGTAAGTTCTAAATTGAAAATTAACCCTAACCTTGGTTATAGTAAAATTAATATTTTCATAAAAAGTCTACTTCCCCTTCTCATACCAGCTTTCAAATTTATTCTCTCATTTTTTTTATTTAAATATACACAAATAGTATAAACACGGCACGGTTTAAAAGTGGATGGAGTCAATTGGACCTCTGTGTGCGCAATATGTGATTTTCAGAAAGTGTAACCGACAAGAGTTAACGTATTACATATAGTCTATATTGTTGGCAATGTAACATTCTAAATATTTACTGTATTTCATGTATTATAGTTGATAAAAACATCAGCTAGTTACGTATCGGTTTTAATTGCAATACAAAATTAGAAGAATCTTCATCTATATATGTAGTACCAACAGAAGAAAAATGTAAAAAGAGTAAACACACACGTGCGCGCGCGCGCGTATTCTTTTGTTTATAAATACATATATTTAACATAATATAATTTTAATTGTAAGTGTGTCCAAAATTAAAATCTATTTAAATAATTTTCTTTATTTTGGTTAATTGCATTATTTTATGTAATTATAGTATCTTACTACCGTTCGAAGTATTTATTGGGCCTCAGCAACAATAATAAAATTTAATATCAATAAATATATTGAGAAATTAATGAAAATTCGTATGGCTCAAATGTGTGTGTGTGATAATTAAAGGAATAAAGGACTAAGAGTCGTGACAGGGTGTTAGTGTCTAAATATTTCATATTTTAAATTTATTACGAAAAATACTACCTCAGCCAGGGTTTGAACCTGGACCTTCCTCTCTCTAAGCGGGCCTTGCACCAATTCGACCACTGAGACATGTGGTAATATTTATCGCAATAAACTGTCTATTAGAATTGCAATTAGAATTAGAATCACGCCCAATAGCCGACAAATGGACGATGAAATTTCATCGTAACTAACAAAAAGACAAAATTGTGGTAGAAGAAAAAGGTAAAGAGCTTTTTTGATCAATATAAGATAACAATCTTTTTGTTGAAGGATGCTGAAAATAAAAGAATATAATATTATAAGTTAATGAATTAGAATATCATGTTTCGCACTTTGCAATCTTCTGCTTTAAATTACATTTATACAGGGTGTCAAATTCGTTTGTGTTTTGGAATGGTCACAAACGAATTTGACACCCTGTATATAACTTTTCTATTAATAGTTGTATGTACACGCTTTTCATAAATTAATAAAATATAGAACATTACGAAATTACATAATATGCAGTAAAGGATACTATCAAAACCTGTATAAATGTATATGTCTCTCCGTGTCTCTCCCTGTCTCTCCCTGTCTCCCCCCTCCTACTAACAGAATAATTGCTATTGATCTCTCCATAATTCTGGCATTCCTTATATTTAAAAAAAAATGTTTTAATTACAAAAACATACGCAGTGACTGGTTTACTAATGATATAATGCAAGAGTAAAAATTAGTCAATATTGAATTCATCACTGAACTTCACATGTGATATACTGATCACCGATTCACGCAAGACTATAACACTAATGTTACAGCTTGTATCGAGCGGAGAAGGTGCAACCACAGGATGGTAAATACAACAGATAATTGTAAAAATATTTCAATAATAAAGAAATAATTAAAACATTATAAGAAAAAGTTGAAAAAATCATAATAAATTATCAATTATATTGACGTAGTTATATCTTTCTCTCGTAGTAATATAAACACATTGTATACAGTCTGTTAAATGTTATATATATATATATATTGACAATAAAAAATATTATATTAACAATACATTTTAAATATTTATTATATATATAAAGTAGTTGGTAAAAACATCAGCAGTTTGCATGTCGGGTCTATTCGTACTACAAGATTTAAAAAATCAATTTTTACCTGTATACGTACACGTATGTATATTCAGTAAAACATATATTTAAAGGAAAGAAATATATAAAAATAATACATAACATTAGATTAAATATCACAATGATGCAAAAAGTCGAAATATATAAAATTCTTATGAAATATCTCTATTTATCTAATTCAATTTCATTTAAATAAAAACACTTTGACAACTTTGCGAATCGTTGTTTATGACAATACCAAAAGTTTTACACACAGAGATTAGTACAATAAACAGCACATTTGTATCATACATTTATTTCTCACATTACAATATCCTGTGGCTATAAAAAAAAGATTCACGAGTGTTTCAGCCTTTCACATCGTTCAGAAATACATATCACCGTAAATCATAATCACTTACCCTCACTAGATGAAAGAAACCGTAGAACTATGTTAGTTATTATTCTCTAAATATTTAATCCCATAACCGGAACGACACCCGTAACATTATCCGTAAAATAATGAGTTCTAATGTTACAAACTTACTCGTATAGTAATGATAATCCCGTTTTCTTTGATCCGCAGAATTTGCACCCGCGTAATTTTAACTAAAAAAAATTAATTACTCAAACATATAAAAATCGAAGAACTGTTTCACTCACATCCGAGCACGACGACGTCAACTGTTACCGTCGCGTTACCAAAGGATACTGTACACAAAACATACGGTAAACCCGGCGCGCATGAGTAGTCGGAGAATTGCCGTGGTGGTGGATAGTGGCACACCCCCGTGTACAGAACGCGCATGCCTCATTGTTGCTCAGACAGAAGAGAGGGATGATGACGACAGGAAAGCAATAAAGTACAGGCAAGAAGTTTGCAATTGTCGATAGCACGTTTTACGACACACATTTCAGTTAACTCTATAAGCTGGGACGTACAAGTATATAGAGAACAGGGACGCATGGTCATTTTCAGAGTTATAAAACTCAAAAGATTACACCCAGAGAAAAACTTCCGGATCCAATGCTATTGCACTTCAATGTCTCACAAAATAGAATCGATATAGCGCCAATCATATTTATTATAGAGACAGGAATATTTTAATCTCACTAGAGATGACCAAACGCGCGCTTCGCGCGCGCAGTTTGTAGTTGAGCATTGTATATTTTTGAGAATTTCTATACATGCAAAGAAGTAATTGTATGTGCAACGTCAATTTAAAATAAAAAGTAATTTATCACTCACTGATACGATTCGCAACCGCAGAGTTGTATGTATAGTACATCATGTATGTTAAACTGTAAAAATACAAATATGTATATGATTAGTATAGACTAATTGTGTCAAATCGAAATTATTATACTAAATATGCTTCATATTTTATTAAGTACCTTAATAAGTACCTATTTTTAAAAATAGGTACTTATTAAGAGAATTATATAAAATACTGAGGAAGTCTTCCTTTTAAATATAAATTCACAAAATTGTATACATTGGTTTTGTCTCTAACACTTATTCGACTCCTCGTTCGAATCATTTGAATAAATAAAATAAAACACGGAACAGATGCTTTATTTTGCACAAGTAATAATTAAATAACATAAAAATATAAGACACTTACCTTACGATTTCTCCGCCGTTGCCCGATGCCTCCTCGGCCACCTCCTCCTCTCAGATTTCCTTGTTGCACTTACACAACACTCACTCGCGAAAATCATCGATCGCGCGAAATTTCCGGCACTCCCGTACGCGATGTGAAATACCGCGAACACACGAAATATTATTAACTTTTGCGTTATCGGTTTCCAAGACTTTCTATCATACAAATTACTCAAACTAACAACTTGCATTTTTGATTCGGAAGAATAGGATAGTGGATAAATCACTTTCGAATTGGCGATATAAAACGCAACGCGAGCATCGGAAACATAATCTGCGGCAAAGAAATAATGTAACGACGTGCAATAAGCGACTTTCTTTACTTCCCGCCCGTTCGAGTTGCGAAGAACGACAGAGCAAAGTCGTACAAATTTCTCTTTTTTCCCGAAAATGGAACAGATTACACGAAATCGACAGATAATTAAAAGCGCGTTGCGTAAACGAGATGTAACCGCGACAAAGTACCACGGTTTACATTCATATTTTAGATGAGTTGATAAAGAGATACGTTGATAAAGAGCCGTCGCCACAACTTGTAAATCGTTTCTCATTACAAGTTGTAGAAACTTGATAATCGAGGAACGTTACTTGTTACGGATAAAGGTGTCCAAATCAATAGCGTTTTATCCCTGCATTTATCGCAATCGAGTCTTGGAAACCGATAACGCAAAAGTAATAAGCGAAAGTAATAACACGCACGGAGCGACTCTCGCTGCTGCCTGCCGGCACGACGTTCGGCGAGCGAGTGAGAGCGCAGCGACCTTCAGGCACACGATGGCACGCAAAAACATCATACGTCACCGCGCCGAGAGAAAAACAACTACGAACGTTGAGAATTCGTTGTCCCGCCTACGAAATGGAAAATTCCGTACTTAATATTTTACATTACTATTGATTAAATTAACGATTAATTCTGTTCAATCGAGAAAATGTTTCGAAACGAAAATCGTTGTTACTTAAATTCTAATTACTAAGATTAGAGATTTTACTTCAATAGTTGATGCATACAAATGTATTATTTCTAAATTGCAAATCTTCATTCACTATGAATCTAAAAGAGAAGTTAAGCACTCCGCGCTTCGAGAAAACTAATCGACATCGCGGAAAGGAGGCCTCAACTGTTCGATATTAACGACATTCGCGCTGGTAACATCTCTTTTTTAGAAAGGGAAAATGAAAAATTCTAAAATCTGGAATAAAATGATAGTACGTATCGTCTTCTGTCGAATATCGTGGTACCAATTTCGTGCGTTGTAAGATGGAGGGAAAATATATTCTAAACGCAAGAATATACATATAAACTTACATTTATATAAGTTGCTCTCGTCTCAATATAGTAAGTCAATCTTTTTTAATTCGATAGAGGGGAATAAGAATTATTGATTTAATTATGATATTGTCTTATTTTTATATTAAATAAGGTTGTGAGAAATAGAAATGCGTCAAGAATATTTTTTGTCTCGGTAACAGAAATCCTTTCCGAGGGCGCACGCTTCAGATAAACTTGCAATAAAATCAGCGACTAAAAACTTAAGAAGAGTAATTAAGAATTCTGAAGATATTGTTATTTTAAGGTAATATTGTTGTTGCTTAATAACTACATTTTTATCTACGTTGTCCTGCTGGTTGTAATAATTAATCAGTTTGCGTCATATAACTGACAAATTTGTACAGATTCTCTTTATTATTTAGTTTCTCCGTTACTATAATTCTATAAATGTGAGCAACATCTTCAGTTGCGGCCCTATCCTCTGTCATAGCTTCTGTTCACCCTACTTTATTAGCTCGAGTATGAATCGATATTTGTAACGTTCATAGTTCTCTACACTCTATACAGGTAGAACAATCGCCAAGTTTGCAAGCTTATATGCGGAAGAGATTGTCCTAGAATATATTCTTCGTCCGGAAAAACATTGCCTACAATATATCTCAATGTGGACATTATTTGGCCTAATAGAAATGCAGGTGCTTGTAATAATTGTATTTTCTTAAATATTATGTTTCCTATGACAATGTCTACGTTTTCTAATCTAAGTGACTCGTCTACCTTCTGGTAACGTAAAAAATCAATTGTACCAGTTTTAAGTATAAATTATACCTATAAGCAAGGTATAATATTGCTTAGTGATGCAATATTGATCAAGTTACCGATTATACCTGTTGTATAACGATGACTATAGTATAATGATTAACTAAACTAGCAGAAACTCCGCTATCATATTAGGAGCCTATCCTATAATAGGGAACTTGCCTCTACAACTATGTGCGTGCATATACATATATACGTACATACGCGCGCACGAATATACACGGATGAAAATGGTATATCATAAAAAGATAGAAAATAAATGGAAATCATAATCTAAAAGATGTATATTCTGAAGTATGTAGATACATCGTGGAAATTTTCAGACGGACTTCGGCAGATGGATTCCGACACGCTTGGAACGCATCGCTCGAGGCAATTTTACCACCACTACCGCTCCAGCTCCATTATCGTGTATCTTGGTGCATCTTTTCTCTAGAGGGAGTCTACGGTCGACGGCCAGTATTCATACCAACTGACTGCCAACGAACTCGTGAAAGACATTCTCTATAAAAGTTCAGACTATAGGCAATATATGGAAACATCAAGTCGTCTTTTTCGCCAGTTGTTATAATTTTGATACAAGATTGTCATGTGTTCGAGCAGTGAGTAATAGTACAATTTCTCTTCATTGTGCATACAGTTTAGAGTGTCACGTATCATTTACGAATTTGCAAAAATTATGACTGTGACGTTTATTAAAGCGTACATACGTGTTGTAATTGTGCAATAATGTGTTTTGCGTGCAAAATGCATACGCCTACAAAGAGATAATAACATTGAGATTATTATATCACTAATTTATGTGCGTAATAATCTTTAGTCAACGGATAATTAAGTCCATACACAATGTACAGAACGTTACTGAAAATACATTTGACCTAAGAGGCTTTATCTCGTTTCACAATAACATGTCTTTTTTTCAGTTATAACCAGTGTTCCCCTAAATGAAGTGTGATCAGTAATTGTGGTTGGCCAGTTGCGACGATAACGAGCACTGTCTAGTCACTGCGCATTGGTAGATCAGAGATTACGTAAGACGTAAGGTGTCGGTCGAATGTAACGTATATTGACGTACACGAAATCGCGACGAGCTCACTAAATCAATATGAAGGTGTTGCTACCGGTTTTCCTCGTGATTTTGGCTTGTGACCAAATTGCTAATGGTTTGCGAATTCTCGGTGTATTCCCGTTTCACGGCAAGAGTCATTTTATCATGCAAGAAGCACTGATGAAGGATTTAGCGAGACGCGGTCATCAGGTAGATGTCGTCACGCATTTTCCGTTGGAAAAGCCGATACCCAATTACACAGATATCAGTATAAAGGGCACTCTTCCACGCGTTGTGAACAATGTCACTGCGGAGGAAGCACAAGCTTTTAGCAATCCATCTATAGCCTATTTCGTGGCCATGGCCGGACATAACATTTGCCAGTTGTTGAGCCATCCAAAAATGCAACAGCTGATCAAAAACCCACCGCAAGATCCTCCCTATGATATGGTCATTGTAGAGGTATGCTCGATGCTTTCAAATATATATGTTCAATCATTCTTACGTATGCATAAAAATGTGATGCAAGAAAATTCCTATTATTTCGATTTAATGTAGACATATTAATATTATGTCTACGAATCGCATTTTTAATATGGATTATAGATATTTTGATGAGTTTCGTATTGGTTGTCTTCAGAAAAGATATCAAACTATCCTCTGAAATTTTGTAATCTTCTCATTTTTTGGAACCTTGGTAATTAAACTTTAAATTTCTTTTTAAAACTTATTTAATATTAAACGTGAAATAACATTTTAGTAATTATATTCACATCCCTTTGGATATTAATTCGCGAAAAAGGCTTTCGTCTCGGTTGTGTTCATTTTAACACGAAAGTTGTTATTATACTTTCTGTCTGGTAAAAATAATATAAATAAAGCATTAGCGGTTTCAGAAAACATTGTACGAAAGAATCATCAGGAAAGTAATCAGCGCAAATGAAAAATGGTATATAACGTGTTCGTATTTATCACGAGTTATCAAGTCATTATCACGAGATAAGATAATATCTACTAGCACATAAAGTGTGACGAAATAATTGATTTAAAAAAAGCGATTGTAGTCGGAAAATTGTATAAACGAAGAACATGATTTTTTAAATATACGATATGCGGAGATAATTAATAAAGTTAAATAAAACGCGGTTGGATTAAAAGCAAACATAACATCATTAAATGAAAATTATTACCGCTTTTAACGAGATATTAATTAACTGACTCACGCGCTTCAACCTGCATGTAACATAGCAAGTCGTTAATTATTCATTAATTATTAAATATTTATTACGCACGACAGACAACGCTGTCTAATTTTATTAAAGTTGCAACATTTTAGCACCGAAAAGCAACTTTTGACACAGAAAATCCCA